GTTCACAGACCCCGCAGTATCTCTCAGGTTTATGAGACATTCATATGTGGGACAGTGTAATATTTGCTCTGCAGCTGATTCAGCATCTCAGGTCTTCATGTCAGGAAAAACAGCGAGAAAATCTCCACTTATAAAACCAGTCACAGCTGAACGGTCACTGAATTTCAGTACGGGCAAGGGTAAGTTCATATGGGTAAGTTCATATGGGCTATTACGATAAGCAGATTACACAAAATGGCCATACAGACAGACTGAACAGCTGCATTAGCAGTGAGCAAGTGTCATGTGAAGTGTTGATGCAACATTGAGTCATTATACACATGAATAAGACTGTACAATGGAGCCACAACAACTGGAAAAGGAAGCAGATTCATCCTCCGACCTCCACACCCACGACTGAAAGTGTGTGACACAATATTTGTGTGAGTGGAAACACTAATAAGGTTTATTTAAGGCTTATTGAAGTCAATGCAACTTATCACGGGGGAAAAAAGTTACATGGAAAAAGAAAGGAGCAGACTGCGTCATTTTATAGCTACATATACACATGTTAAATGACACCACATCTCACAAGACGGCAACCAAATAAAAGCGTGTGATGAGATGTGATCATTTCACTGCCAAATATATTAAATAAAATGTTGACATTTAGTTAGTTTTAGAACATAAAGCTCATCTTATTACTGTTTTATACTTTTACATTCCACTATATTTCAGAAAGAATACTTTTTAGGTTGACAGCTAAAGCACTGAAACACTGCTTCCACAGTGATGCATGAGCACTAACAGAATATAATAACTATATAACATGAAAAAAAACTGACAGAAGCCATTTCTTTGCATTTGTTCTTTTACTTTTGATATGTTTACTTACTTTGATAACATATACTTCCTGAAGTACATTCTGAATGCATAAGGTAAAGGAGTACTCCTTCCACCATGTGATACATCAAAAATTCCTTTTGTGATATTCAAGATGTTCAGTACGAACCATCAGACACTGCTAAGCTATAAATGTGCTAAACAACACTGTTTGGTTCAAACTTAAAGGACACCTCTAATATGATGCATGCTGTAACTGAAATAGAGGGTAATAGAACTGCAAGCATGAATGGATTACTAAACAGGCAGATTACCGGGCACAGAGCAGAGGGCCCAAAGTGTCAGGGGTATTCATTCATTAATTGCTTATCCTATTCAAGGTCATGGGGTGCTGTTGTGAGCGAGAGGCAGGGTACACCCTAAACAAGTTGCCAGACAGTCACAGGGGTGACTGGACGGCTGTGGCTCGGGAGGTACAGCAGGTTGTCCACCAAGCAGAAGGTGGGCAATTTGATCTCCAGCTCCTCCAGTCCGCATGTTTAAGCACCTCAGGCAAGATACCAAACCCCAAATTGGTCCTGGTGTATGAATGTAGTGCTTTGTATGGTAGCCTTGGCCACCAGTGTATACATTTATGTTAATGGGTAAATGTGACAAGTAGTGTGAAAGTGCTTTGAGCGGTCAAACAACTAGGAAAGTGATATACAAGTGCAAGTCCATGCAAGTCTACTACATATAGAGACAGACAACCATTTACAAAGTATATTCACACTTATGAGCAATCTATAGTCATCAGTTAACCTGACCTGCATGTCTTTGGACTGTGGGAGGAAGCAGGAGTACCCCGGAGTAAACCCACGGGGAAAACATGCAAACTCCACATAGAAGGGTCCCACCTGTAAAATGTTGCTCAAACTAACACCGACCAGGAAAAAAGATGTCCAAGAACGATAAAAAAAGATGCAAATGAACTGCAAAGAGATACAATATAACTACAAAAAGGGGCAAAACAACTCCAAGGAGACACAAAACATCCAAAATCTGTGTGTCTGTGTAGGACAGGTGGTGGGGCCTTTTGCATATCTGGCCCAGTTGCCCCTTTCTCTCTCTTATAATCCGCCCATGGCTGCAAGTGTAAAGCCGACAGTGCATGCGTGGTAAATTAATGATCGCATCATGGGAGTGAACAAAAACGAGGTTTCACAGAAAAGAGCTTTATCACCAAAATGTAGTAATTGCATGGAAAACATGATCGGGCCTGAGGTGTCACACTTCCATTTCCAAGTATTTCTCAGTCACATGTAGAAGGTGACAGAACTGTCACTGTATCACATATAAGTCAAATGAGAAGGCGGAAAATGTCTATCTGGCCTCTGAACCAAGATGATATTAACCGTTTTATTTTGATTTAATTATTAATCTCAGCTTGGCCCCCCTCGAAACATTTACTGGATTCAGTCCATGAATATGGAAGTTTTTATATTGTTCTAAACTTGAATAAATCCAAGAAAATCTCCTCCAAATTGGCAGAATGAACGTCAAACTATGAATAGAAATCTTACAAACTGAATTCCACTTGACTTGGCGACTTCCTCTTCATAGCTGAGGTTCTCGAGGGTGCAAACCCCAACATAAGTAATATTTTGGTGCAACCTCAGGAAACTGTGTCATGGAGTTGGTTGGGAAGTTTCTAAACAAAACAGAGAGAGGTCAGCAGCAGGCTGGTGAAATAAACACCACAGCAATGTGAGTGAGTCAAGAGATGTTATCCTTTGTCTTTTGTCTCTCTGATTCAGACACTGGGCTTATGATCTGTTCTCTGTGACAGCACTGGGAGCCTTATCATTGTATGTTATGTGTGCATTGCATTGTGGTTAGGTGAGCAGCTGATAACACTGCTGAATGCAATGAGGCTAAAATGGAAAATGAATAAAGGGGGGGATGTACTGACAGGTCATCTGCACCATGCACACAATGCAAAGTTGACCTATAATTAACATGTGGCTGTTAAGGTCTCAGTGGTAAAAAGAGGCCCTGTCTTCCTATAGATTACATAACTGAAACACCACCAACAATGATCTGCATATATACTCCCGTTTTGGTTTTTGCAACTTCCTCTGTCTCACTGTCTCATATGTTTTCACAGAATGTTCCTTCTATGTGGACAGAGGGACAATATTCTGCATCGAGAGGATGGAGGTCTTGTCTATTGTAGTCTTTTCCTAGGTCATTTCTCAAAGGTGCAGTGCTGGGTAAAACTCAAGTAAAAGTGAAACCAACATAATTTAAAACACCAGAAATACTATATATTCAAAATACGTAAGGTTAAGATCTTTTGCCACAGTACTGAGTATGAAAATTGAGAGTAGCTTTGAGGAGTGGTCCCTGTTACCGCTTTAAATGATGTATGGTGGGTGATTTAACTACAGCAATGGGCTACATAATTTCTTATAAACCATTCAGCCATTTAAGAACAACATTTCTGTCTTAAATACAGTATTAAAGCTGTAATAAAAGTATAGTTTTGCAAAATGAAAATACTTTGGTTAATGCCCTGTGGCTCAAAATGGTAACTTATTGATTAAAGGGATGTATTTAGTTGGCCTAATTTTGTCTTGCTGAGATTATGTAAGTCTTAAAAATGATGGCATATCTTCCTTTAGGTGACATAAGCAGTGTCCTAGGGGGCCACCCAGAGGCTGTGGGGCACCAAAAGCCCCCATCCTGACCCCACCCCCCAAAAAAGTGCATTTAGGAAAAAAAAAAAAAAAAGAATATAGAGCATGCTGAGGTTTGGGGTGTGGTCGTCATGGCAACGCAGTTCACCTTAATGTTTTTATTAGTGAGTGATGATCACAGTCAGAACATGCAAGAGTATTGTTGGGTATGGTGAAGGAGGAAGAGGAGGAAAGGAAAAAGGAGGAAGAAGAAGAAGAAGAAATTTGCCAATTAGCACTTTATTATTGGTTATTTATAATGTTTTTTTTTAGCTAAGTTGTTTATTTGTGTTGATTTCTTATTAGCCCGTTTTCACGTTTGTAATAAATCTAATATGGCGGCTTTTAATAATAATAAAAATGGGGGGTAGGGAGACATGGTAAGCTTGCATAGGGCACCAAATGAGTTAGGAAAACTCACATTAAATTAAATATGATGCCATTTGCTATAAAATGCAAACCCATCTCTGTCATGATTTTCATTTCTATTCTTTCCATTTCTTTTCTCCTCTTTACTGAGTAAAACAGTAGCAATCTATTACGAAGTTAAACACTTATTCTACATAAACTAAAAAAAATGAAAACTAACAAAAAACTATATTTGTATTCATCCTTGCAGCTAGTATATAACATATTCAAGCTGAGTACATCTGCAAGCCCAGCAAGCAGTCATGACTTTTAAAAATAAAAGCAGCAGTTTAAAGGACAAGAGAGAAACAAACAAGGGGAAAGTAGCAAAGAATCCTAAATTAGATTCCTGTGGCATTTTTATAAACAGTTGGCAGTGGTGTGTGTCTGCGTGTGTGTGTGTGTGTGTGTGTGTGTGTGTGTGTGTGTGTGTGTGTGTGTGGTTACTACCTTACGCCACTGGTGGTGGAAGAAGTATTCATCAGTACCACTGTAAAACAATTAATTACTTTTAAAAGATGTGCATTCAAGAGCTTAGTAAATTAAAAGTATATAACTAGTGAAATAGTTTATGTAGGCCTACCTCTTACCAGCTCATTTCTTTCTGTATAGATTGTATACTTATCTATTTTAGATATAGATATACTTATCTACCTATGTATTTCTGTCCTTGCACTGCTGCAACAGCCAAATTTCCCCCACTGGGGTTCAATAAAGGTGTATCTTATCTTAATGGTAAAGTGACAATAAAGTGACTGTTGATAATGCAATTGTAAACTGGCACGCGGGAAAAAACACACCCCCACTTTCTGTTCTGATAGAAAATGAAGGTTTTGGTAAAAAAAAAATAGAACTTAACTTGTGCGTCTTTTCTATTTTTTTGCATTAAAAATTAAGATTACATCATGGGTTATGGTTAGAAGGTGAAGGATGGGAGGAGGGAGGAGGCGGGAGGCGGGAGGGAGCTGCGGTAACAGCCGCTCCTGATTGGTTGCTGTAGATTTCTCGTGCAGCTCGAGGTGTTTAAATAGCCAATCACGTCGCCTGTGTTCAGTATGTGTAGCAGCTACAGCGAACATTCGGTCCTCTGTCGGTGGAAGACCGCGTCCGAGTGACACCATCGTCTCTGCTCTCTCACTCAACATAAGTGCCATGGAGGAATCGAGTAGTTGACGTTTCCTGTTGCAACCTTCTCTTTTTAAGCTTTCTTCCCGTCTGATCATCGTGATCCTGACACCGGTTAACTGACGTTTTGACTTCTCAGCGACTTTTCCCACCACGAGCTTTGACCAACCGACATCATGAAGTACATCATCGGCATCGGCGGGTGAGTTCCAACGGATGAATGAACGGCGGCTAAGCTATGCTAAGCTAAGCTAGCTAACCGATGCTGCTAGGCCTTGAAAGGCCGGTACACGTGGAGGAGAGGGTGGTCATAATGACACGCGACAAAACGTCGCTTCTTTTTCTTTGTCGTAGAGCTGTTCACTTACCAAATATATCTGTTTTCATTCATAGTTTGTGTAATAATTCAGTAGCTAAACAAAGCTAAAGCTAACGGTTACTGGCATGTGATAGAGACAAGTAAACCTGCAATGTGTTAGCTGACCCACCCTTTTTTTCACAATGAATTAACACATGCCTAAAATGCCACTAAACATGTAAAATTTGAGTTAACTTGAGACTATCATAGCAATGTCTGTTAACGGTAGTTTTGTTACAAAATGAAGTGAAAATGAATGGCATGTAAAGGGTAATTACATATATTTAATAATGCATTATCTGAAAACTGATAATGTATAACTGCTGTATTATTTGGGCATGTTAGACACTATATTCAATGTGACTGTCCAATCTTTAGGGTTGTCAGCTTTACAACTTTTCAAGTGGGTGTCCTTGTCCTCCATTCATTGCCCTTTTTATTGCTTTGTTCCATTCAGCGTAACCAACGGAGGGAAAACCACCCTCACCAACCGACTGATCAAGAACCTGCCCAACTGTTGTGTGGTTCACCAGGATGACTTCTTCAAGGTGAGCCACGTACACATATCTCTCATTGAATTTTGGATATAGTTAACCAAAGGGATTGCTCTGAGTAACACAAGTTGGTGGGGTGTTAACACTTTGCTGCCTGTGTTGCTAGATACAGTTTGACCTAGTGACTAAAAACACACTATCAGAGCCTTCCATATAGCAGAGTGTAGTGGAATGTACCTTGGTACATCTTATCAATGTATGTTTCAGCCCCAAGATCAGATTGAAGTTGGTGAAGATGGCTTTAAGCAGTACGATGGTAAGCCTGGGTTTTTAATGAAAGGATTTGAGTGCGTGTTTGTATGTGTGTGTTTGCTCCAGCTGTGGTGTTGCTTCATTTGTTACCTGCATGCAATATAGACAAACTTTATCCCAGATCGTGTGTTTCCTAACATGCTATTCTGCAATTTTCTATACGCTTCTCCTTTTCCTTCCATCCTCCCTCTTTGCTTTGCTCTCCAGTCATCACTGCCCTGGACATGGACGCCATGATGAGTACGATCTATGCATGGTTGGACAACCCAGTGAAGTTTGAGAAGTCTCATGGCGTCAATAACACCCTGGATACTGAGATCGTCCCAAAGTCTGAACACAAGGAGGAGGAGGAGACTCACATCCTTATTGTGGAGGGCTTTCTGCTTTACACCTACGGGTAAGCACATGTGTTCATTCTGTTTCTGTTGGTTGTTTCTCACTGTAAAAGAAATGGGAACCAGTAAACGTTGAAATTAATTGATCTCTTCCCTTGCAGACCTTTGATCGACGTGCTCAACCAACGCTACTTTATTTCCATCCCATACCAAGAATGCAAAAAGAGGAGGTGGTACGTACCTCAGTGTTCAGACACTGTTCTTAACCGGTTGTTACAGTCTAGTCTGCTGTTTTATTACCTTTTTTTTATAATTGGTGTTGTGTCTCTCTGCAGCTCTAGGAACTACACGGTGCCAGACCCCCCCGGCCTCTTTGACGGCCACGTCTGGCCCATGTATTTGAAACACAAGAACATCATGGAGGCTTCAGATGTTGACGTCTGTAAGTGTGTTTTTACGGGTTGTTTTGTATCATCACTTTTTCATATTTTGAAGTTTAACATCTCATTAATTTAACTGTATGTTTGCTATTACAGTGCAGCTAGATGGAACCAAGTCAAAGGAACAGCTGTTCAACTTTGTCTACGGTGACATCCTGAATAAAATCCAGAAGTCTCTCTAACAAACAAAGGTACACAAATCATCCAGCTGTCCTGTCACAAAAATCCTTGTGTCCAAGTGTGAGTTTCTGATTGTGTTTTTCTGTGTTCCAGGTCATACGATCGGCTAAAAGGAGCATGTACTCAGCCTGCAAGCAGAACACCGCCTTGCCTTAAGTTTCTACCTGGCAGCTCATTCAGCTGACTGCTATGATTTTTTTGTAAATGTTTAACTGATGGCATCAAAATGCTGGCATGTTTTTATATCTACCATATTTATTGCTTTGTTACAGCCCACACTCCAGAGAGAGTTGATGGATATGTTCAGAGGATAGTTGCACTTATGTCAATAAATGATCCTCCTGTCAACTCTGTGCTCTTCTGATTATTTTTAAAAGGATCAGCTCTTCCACTGAAGGTTCAACAAAGTTGAAACCCTACAAAATATAACTAAGATATTGTGAAGTGTTCACGTGTGTGAAGCCCACATTTGTGAATTGAAGTTTATAAATATAGTTCCCCTTTTCAGCACTTGCAGCCCTGGGTGGCTGCTAAGTTAAGCACTGTGAGCAGACTGCGTTCACTTATCTTGTTCCCAGGCAGCAGTTGGTGCGAGTGATAAGTGGAGTCACAAGGTAACCTCGTGACCTCAGGTTTAGAACACAACCCTTTATCTAAAGGCAGACACACTTTCGCTAGAAGTTTACCCTTCAGATGAAGCCACTTCAGAGGCACCTTCATTGGTTTTACAGAGCGATAACATTGTGCAATAGTACTCATCATGAGTTGAAGTAAATGCATGACTTGCATAACATCCTACAGTGTTACTGGACCAAGATGATAAAGTACATGCAGTACATGATGTATTTAAGTATTCCACAAACATAGTAAAAGCCTGATTGGTGTAAACAAGGTCAAGTTCAGGAGATTTCTAAGCAGGAAAATAGCATCACTGGATACAAACAGACCATCACTTGGAGAAAGTGGAAAGAAACATGATGGACAACCTGATTTCACTCCCACACCAATACTTTTTTAATGTCTTATGAGGTGTGGTTTAATCCCATATGCAAAGACATTTATTTCAAAAGATGCTTTCTTCCAGTTGCAATAAATAAGCTCCACCATTTTGTCAGATTCTCCATGAAGCTGCGGTAAGCCTGGCTGCAAACACTGCCTAATGCATGGGCGTAGGATTCAACAATGGAGACATAAAATTTAAAGCATCAAACACTTAATTTCCTGCACTCTGGTGAGTTTTTTACGAACCAATTTGTGCCTTTTGTGCACCAATTTATGGCGTCAGTGTAATTTGTCCAAACAAAAGTCCTCTGCTACTTTCATGTTTTTATTGGTGGGGACAAATGTACATGTCTTAAATATTGACAGGGACGTGTCCCCTGCATCCTGCCTGAAATCTTCATCTATAGCTGAATGTGTTTTTACTGCAGGGACACATAATGTCTATATATTGCTGCTGTTTTATGTATATATGTGTGGTCAATGTAATACAATATGTTAATGTAATAAAAAGCTAAAGACTTCATTTTCATCTGCATAAGTAAAGAAGGTTTTTAACCAACACACCACATGTCAGCTAGTGCATTAATGCAGTGCTATAATAAAGCATTAGGCCAGTGAATTAATACTTAATTGAAAAAGGATACATTAAATGTGTAGGCTATCAACAAAAGACAAAGCATGCATGATATTAAAGTTAAATAAAGCGGTAAAATGATGAAAAGTACTAAAAATACATGCATGTGCGTCAGTAAAGCATTTATTTTTCCTCAATGGAAAAATACTGCGATGAAATCTAAATTAAAACATCCACAAAAGTTATGGGTGTGTCACGCCCCTCCAAGGGAGTGAAATATGTTTCACACTGGCCTTTTTTTTCACTCTGCCGTGAAAGCACACGTTACGTAATCTTACTATGGACATGTATGGATGGAAAAGGAAGTAGGTCAGCGCTGTAAGTTGAGGAAGAAAACTCTTGGCCTACATACGAGAAGTCGTTTTTTCCCTCTCTGTAGTTCTGCATGCGACTGTTGTGTGTATAATCAAGGATAGTTACAGCTTTCCCCGAGTTATGTATTCATTATAGTATTAAAAGATCCAACCGTGCTGTTTTTTTAATTCAACTAACCTGCCTTTGAAAACAAACCACATAATGTTTTCAGATCTATTGCCTGAAATCTTTTTCCATTAAACAGTCACTGTTTTCCCGCTGATGTGTCATTCTGGAATAAAACAATCCTAAAATGTTGATATTACACCGACAAATGGCAGTCTGACACAGAGAGCATGTGTTGCATTATTCACAGAGCACAAAGCAGCCCTTATGGGTTTCTCTAGCTCCAGACAAACGGCATGAGTATTGACACATCAGTGTTTCTGCAGCATCTGCACACACACACACACACACACACACACACACACACATGGGCAGACAGTGAACATCTGTCTTAAAAGCATGTTTTTTCAATGCACGTTTGAGTTGTTAAGTTACAGTTTATTATTGGGGTTTCATTGTCATTTTTATGCCCTCAAACGACTTCTCAAGTCCTCCTCCACCCATTTCTCCTCTGATACATTTCAACATACCTGCTGCATGTGTTGTCACACACATAAAGGTTCACATCTGCCATGACCTTCCAGCTAATTGTTGTGATCACTTAACCAGAGGCTTCATATATTCATTCATCTGCTCTGAAACACAACCACAGGCTGAGTAATGTATATGTAATTGTAACTGCAAAGTATTCACTGTTGGCTGCTGCTCAAGTTTAAGTTATGTAACTTTACTTCATGGGCTGTTGTGTGGATTGAGTTTGAATATTTCAGACCACCAGTGCATTCAAATGTACTGGGGGAGAGAGATACTGAGTGGGAGATCCTGTTACAATGCTATCCATCTTGAGAATTTCCTGCAGCCTACTTTAGTTCGGAGCAGCACAAACAACAAAATATTTCATCCTGTTTGTCAGTGTTATTATTTAGCTTGGATCAAACTTTTCAAGGCAGAAACTTTCACTTTGTGGTGTTTATTTTCCATGATATATGATTTTTTTATGCTTAAAAACCAGGTGATCTGTGTGCTGACGTCCCCACGTGGCTCAGCATTTTAACAGTGACTCATAATGTACTTAACTTCGACGCCTGAAATCATTTGGAGACGGTGTTAATTCCCTCAAAGGGTAGCTAACTCATTTTAAAATGGGTGTTACTTCACAACATGTGCAAGCTGGTCAGTCTGGACTTGAATGTGAGAGATAAACAGTTATGTAAGCTTGACTGCTGCGGGCACGGCCTTCCTTGGAAAAAAAGAAAACATTGCACTGAAGCATGGCTGCAGGCTTTATTGACTTCAACTTCAGTTATACTTTCTTTTCTTCCAGTAAAGTGAGTAGTTGTTTGCAGAAACTAGGTTACAGTTAACTCACTGTCCTCATGCAGATACAATAATTCATAGATGAATAGCACTGTGGTGATAGAGGACATCGTTTTCTGACACCCGTGCTTTCTGGACTACAACAAACCCTGCAGTTTTCTAAACCACACCAGCCACCACACTGGCATGAGAGCTGCAGTATGGGTCTTGTTTGTGTATGTGAGCAAGTGTCTGCCTGTCTTACTGTCTGCATGAGTGAGTGTACGTGTGTCTGCGTCGCTCCCGTCTCTCCCCCCTACACACCTCTCCACAGTGCATCCAAAAAGCAGAGGAAGCAACAGTCTGCTGTGGTCGACTCAAATAGACCATATAAACAACACTATAAATCCTCCCTTCAGACCTCTAACTCCATACAGTTAAGGTTTGGATTATCACATATCCACCTCACGCAGGTCAGACGGGACACGGCATTGCAACCACTAACCATCCTGGCGGCAGAGGTGACTGCATCTCTGTGGCCGTCTTGTCTGAAAACAATTTCTTTGTCTCACTCATGGCCTTGCAGTGCGTCCTTTAACATATTCCCTGTTTTCTTCTGTTACACAACCAAGGAAAACAAGAACAGGGCGCATTCACTTAATCAAATCATGCTTTCCCTCGACCACTATGGAACCACGCCGCTCTTCAAAGCCTCCTTTTTCAGCCTATTTCTATATTTACTGCTTTTATTACAGTCTAAGAGGAGCCCATGAAACCAGCCATTGGTGCCATAAAAGCTTTTGTGACCCTGGGGGATGTTGTGAGGGGACTTATTTTGAAAACGTGACCCTCTAAAGCTGGCACAGCAGCATGCTCCTCAGGGTTAACACTGCACCTGTGGGGCTGACGTGAGGACAGCCTTTCACCTACTGTGGTTCACCAGCTCCGTCTGTGTTTACGCTGAGTGGAACTGGCCTGACCACAGTGCAGACACAACAAGACACACACAGGGCATTAGACACTTAAATTGTACACACTGCACTGCATTTGCTGCAGCACATGGGTGGTGGATGAAAACATTTAGTTATGGGTCACAGTGCATTTGACTGAAATAAAGTTACATAAGTATTATAAGGTCAGTGTACTGAAGTGTTAGGAGTACACATACAGTGTTTACATGTTTACATACTACTGATCCATTAACATATAAAAAACAATTTAAAACTCCATCAGCTCCGGAAGCTCCAGGCTCACTGTCAACAGGTTTGTACTTATTTAATTTAAAATGTGTTTGCATCACTAAAGCCTAATATGAACTGACATGATAAGGGCTTTAATGTGGCGCCTGCTTTATTACAATTTAATGTCTATTTTGGGATTGTACAAATAAATACACAAAAGCATATTAAACAAACTCAAAGTTTTCCTTGTGAGGAGCAAAATCACATTTTAAGACCTTTTTTATTCCAGTTTTGTTCTTCAAGTCACCAAGTACATTTACTTTAATACTGTTTGTAGGTATTTTCATACTTTGCCACCTTAAACTATGACAGCCCGCTTCATTTCAGAGTGAAATATTGTACTTTTTACAGGACTACTTTTATTTAACAGCTGTGGTTAACCAAGGTTTCTGGCATTGCATTATGACCATATGCTGATTTGCATTTTTGTAGAGGTATTTTTAGTGTATGATGCTATTTATTTATTTTTTTGTGTTTCTTATTGCTACGTTGGGTATAATGTTGATTGGTCTATGTACTATGTTGTATGTTGTATTTCTGTGACTGCAGAATGGTTGTAGGGCCCAAGACAAATTCCCAGGCTGTGGGACAATAAAGTTAATCTTGATCTTGATTTTGATCTTGAGGTGTGGACTCAGTCACATGACTTGGGCTCGAGTCAGACATGAGTCACAAATTTGATGACTTTAGACTAAACTTGAAGAATTCAAAAGACTTGCAGCTCAATTGACTTTAACACTGATGACTCATGACTT